TCCTCGTTGGATGGCTCCAGAAGTTCTACTAGCAATGCGTGAACAGACCACATATGGCCTGGTATAGTCCATGTCCTTTCCACACGAGCTTTTCATTTCTGTATAGTGAATAATCAGGCATAAAATTTAAAGCTTATTTGTTGCCTGTTTGCAGGAGGTAGATATTTGGTCATATGGATGTCTCCTCTTGGAGTTGTTGACCCTCCAAGTACCGTACTCTGACGTGCCTGAGCTGCATATCCATGAACTCCTCGAGGTACATACTGGGTGTTTGTTTTAGCTTTGACTAAAAAAGATACATTCTTTGTTTGTAAGTTTTTGTATAAATGAAGCAAAAGTGGTGTATGGTTTTGTTGTAGAAATGTCGAGCTGATGAGGTATGAGATTCTTTAGTAGTGAAAAAGTAATTGATGGGACTGTTCAATTGTTTTTTTTGGTATGAACTGGTTGATAGTCTTTGTAATAGCAAAGGAAGTAGTGTGTTTCACAATGACTATAACGTGCTTCAAGAATATATATTTTCTTTTGGGGGCACTTAGTATGGAAAATTGTGATAGAGGTGGCTAGATTAAATATTTTGTGGGGTTTTGGTTGAGTAGGTGTTACTTGTTAGAACCAGCTACATTGGAAAAATGTGTTTGTTTTCAGTAAACAAGCGCGTTCGTTTACCTGTTAATCCAATTTCTTTCTAAGGTAGTCATTTTTTTCTAGCCGAAGCAAACACATCCACAATCGGTAACCCTTCTTTTAATGCCTGATGGTATTTTGTGTAGCTATGAAAGTGACCCATGTTTTTTCTTGTTTAAACAGAGTGGTGAGCGACCGCCATTACCTGCTGAGCTCGAGAGGCTGGGATTGATGAATGTTCCTGCACAGAAGGAAAAGTCCGAGCCAGAGATGGAGGAATTCAGTGAGCTAGAGACATTGAGGTTCCTTGTTAACTTGTTTCGGCGATGCACTGAGGGAAGTCCTGCAGATCGTCCCACAGCCACGGATATTTATGAGTCCCTTGTTGCTCACACAAACACGAGAGGTTCGAGGAAGCTGAGAAGTAGTGTAGATGACTAATTTCTGCCAATTTTTGTAGCCCTAGTGTACAATGCCGACTTTTCAATTTGCACAATAATAATTTATTTTCCCTGAGGAGACCAAGACTTTGGATGGGTGGTGGTTTCCCTTAGTTCTGAGTGTACCATCTTTGTAGTAGCTTGTTAGGGATAGCCCGTTGTGTAATTCATGTCATGGCTGCCGTCTGCAGTTGGGCGTGAAGTGTCTGGTTACTTTTGTAGGTGGGAGTGTATTTCTTTTTTCTCTTGCTTTGTTTACAGAGGACTTGACGGATTACTGGAAAGATTACTCAACCAATGAAATGCAGGTCATTATGGTAGAACTTGTGAAGTTTTGCTAGTGCTTCATCGGTTGATATTTTCAGTCTCATTGTACTCACTGTATGCTTGTGTTGTGTATCCAGTTAACCGTGTGCGTTTAATATGTTAGGAAGAGGGATCCACCCATTTGCGCCTTTGGTGTTATTGGTGGATGCAGAGAGTGCTGATACGTCGTCCACTCGCCATCACCGTTTGAGAATAGAAAACAATCAAACGAAAACAAGAGAGCATTGATATTCGAGGTGGAAAGTAAGCCCCCATTTGTTGGCATTAGCATGAACGGCACCCGCTAGCACCCAGTCTCTCTGATCACTTCCTATTTTTGGTTCTCCTTTCTCTTTGTTTAGGGGAGGAATTAGAGTGATCACCACTTTCTAGTAGTCACCGTGGCTATTTAGGTAGTGATGGCAATGGGCGGGGCGGGTATCCCAATACCCATGCCACGCCCCATGCTATTGCGAGTTGGGGCGGGTAAAACCCCGCGGGTATTGGGCGGGGCGGGCCGAACCTACTCTTTGAAGTTATTTGAAAAAAATACACTAAAATTTTCTTTCTACGATAAAGTGACGAGAAAAACACTTTATGAATGAAAAATCATAATAATAGAATGGACAATTGAGTATAACTAGTTAAAGAAAAGTCAAAATAGGAGAAATAAGAATAAAATTGTAAGCAATTGAGGGGGCGGGGCAGGGCGGGCCGAAAGTAGATACCAATGTCCCACCCATGCTAATGCAGGTTGGGTAATACCCACCCCACCCCATCACGGATCAGGTCGGGTAATACCCGACTGGGCGGGTTCAAATTGTCATCACTATACTTAGGGCAGCATTGGTATTTCAATGGGATTAAATTACAACACCATATTTATTACGTAGTGGGAGTGATAATTAAGGAAACAAAACACTGAAAGGAGAGATAATTACGGAAACAAAACACGGAGGTCATTATGTCATTAACAATCCTTAGTAGGGATGGTAATGGGTCGGGTCGGGTGCGGATAGTGCATATCCGTTACCCTATCTAAAATAATTCGGGTTTTACCCACACCCATACCCACACCCACATGAGAAACGAGTAGACAATCAAAACCATGCCCATACTCGTTTGGGTTTCGGGTATCCACGATTATCCGTGGGTAATAATTTCTCTTCATAACTTCAACCAATATGTTAACATTCATACGTAGTCTCCCATTAGTAAGAAGAAAAGTCGCCAATAATTCACTAGAATGAAGAAAATTAATTAAAACACAATTTCATGAAAAATATTATATTTATATGCTAAACATAAAATATGTTAGAGAAAAATAATGATTATTTTTAGACAAAATACATATGCATGTATATAATCGGGCGGGTTCGGGTTGGATAGTGAGAAATCCATGCCCACCCATTACCCGCAATATTCGTGTTCGGATATTACCCCTACCCACTAAATGTCCTTCGGGTTCGAGTTTTATCCTACCCAATTTGACCGGATTCAGGCGGATATCCACGGTTACGGATAGTTTTGCCATCCCTAATCCTTAGGTTTTTTTTTTCCCTTTCTTTTTAACCCAATGGTAGAAGTGAGAATAAGCGAGTAGGACGTTAATGCGTATTGGTAAATATTTTGGCTGTATTGGTAGCGTGACACTATGGTAGCAATTGTCAATGTTATGATACTACACTGTGATTGGTTCGGTAGTGATTCAGTATCAGTAGTGTAAATTTGGTGCACTAGCGTACATCTCCGTGTCTAAACTGAATGGTATTGTGGACGCTATGATAGTATTTGTATGTGATATTGTTAGATTGGTATTGGTTGGCAAAAGGATACATGTATCCTTTACAAAGAAATTTGTTAAATATAAAGTATCCTTTTGTAGAAAACATTTGCTATGCAGTATGCCCATAAAAAAAAACATTTGCTATCTTGAGTTCAAAGAACGAAAGTTAATATGGAACATTGGGGGTAGAATGGGTATGAGAAGAAAAAGAGAACATCGAGCCTAATTATTTTTCGATTAAATTTAACGAAATCGAAAGTGCAATTGCCTGACCCCGAAAAGCCAAACTAGTGCTTAATTACCCAATTACGTGCGACACAAGCAGGTTGACTTGGTCAACGTCGGTTTGTTGAGACGCGTTCAGTTTGAAACCTCCAAACGTATTACTTACGCTACAGGGCGGCCGAAAAAAATATAACCGACTCTCCAACGTTCCAATTTGCCATTGCTATATAATATGCGCCGGAGTAACCTCTCATCTGTTGCTTGTTGAGTTTCTCCTGTTTAGAGAAGCGTCCGAAATGAATTCTTCCCGCATAAGTGGTCGCCGACGGGTTGCTTCCCTAGGAGTCGTTTTTAGTGAATGAGTAGAGAGTAGTGGTGCCTCTCTCACTCTGAGACCGTGTCTCCGCTCGATGGGTGTTGGCATTTTGGGGCGGATGTCCCACGGTAGGTTTTCATGGTGTTTATCGGTGAGGGAATCGGTATGCTCTTCTTCTTATTGCTCTTTGTCTTTGCTCTCCTAGTTTATTGGACCCAAAATTTTCTTTGATATCGTTGAAACCAGTTGCGTGGGTAGAAGGATTGAAAATCTGCGATTTCTTTGCTTTGTGAGCCCTAATTCTGTCGGGTTTAAGATATCGAGTTGTGGATCCGTCTTTTGTCTTCTGATACTGAAATTGTGGGTGATCCATCCAGGGAATATGCAAAAGTTGAAAGGAATGCAGGTAATCAGTGGTGCGATTTGCGTATGTGGGTTGTTGGTTGGTTTCTTTAACAGTAACAAAGTCGGAGGTCAGGGTTTCTCGTTTGATCAGCCAGCCCAGTTACGGTTAGGGTTTCTTTTGGAGATACATTTACGTCGGGAGGGTTGGTAGGCAAGGCCAAGTGTTTCCTGGTTATGATCTATTACATGAGTTGGATGGTCCATATTGACGTTTCGTCCTTGGTGGAGAAATATTTTATCTGGTATGATTCCTACATGCTTGCTGCAATGACACGTGAATGATTGTCTTTGCTGCGTCTTGTTGTTGGTTTACAATGCTTTTGGTTGTCCGATCATATTATTATTTTCGTTGCCATTTCCATGCGCCAGATTTTTTCACTTGTGAAATTCTTTCATTCAAGTCTGCAAATGGCACTGATAAAGTAACATTGAAATTCTTGCATTCAAGTTCTGCAAATTCTTTCATCAGTTGCCCTTCTGCTCTATCCTGTAAAGTAAAAATTACTGATGGACTCCTAGAGGGGAACTCTTGAATGGTCATTTGAAACCAAGTAAATCCATGAATTGGTGGCCGTGTTTGAGAAAGGAAGTTGGTATTCAAGTGTCCACTTGACCCTACGGTTGAAATTATCTTGAATCATTCCAGTTGCCCTTCTGCTCTATCCTACTTGGTGATGCCCTTATTAGAGTCCTAGATCGGAACTTTGGAATGATTAATACTGAGTGAGAAAATACATGGATTGGTGGCCATGTTTGAGTAAGAATCTACTCTGTCCGAAATTCCAGCAAGTATTTAATCATTCCAGTTGCCCTTCTGCTCTATCCTACTTGGTGATGCCCTTATTAGAGTCCTAGATCGGAACTTTGGAATGATTAGTACTGAGTGAGAAAATACATGGATTGGTGGCCATGTTTGAGTAAGAATCTACTCTGTCCGAAATTCCAGCAAGTAATTAATCATTCCAGTTGCCCTTCTGCTCTATCTTGTGAAGACAAAGTCATAAATGGAGTCCTAGAAGGGAACTTTGGAGTGAGTGATGCCAATCGAGAGACATGGACTGATGATCATGTCGTTGCTCTAGATGTTGTGTCACTTTGGGCGTTATTTTGAGATAATAATAATTAGTTGCTTCTCTGCTTGGTACCAAATTCAATCTTGTTGACTGTGGAAGCCCTAAGTACAATCAGTTGCCCCTCCACTAGGTCCCAAATTCAATGATGATCATATTTTTCATTGGAAAAACTGCCCAGCATCTCATCTCACAAAAATGTTGTTCATTCAGGGTGCAATTAGTTTAAGCCGCCTCTTTGGCTTTTAAACTTTCCCGTCTCTAATTAGCAACTTCAGAGATACGTTACTGCCCTCTTCTCACTTTACTACCATTTCATGGCCTGATAGTGAAAGCCCATTAGAAGCAGCAGTAGTAAACTCAATGCTATTCATTAGAAACAACAGGTCCGTTGCTGCAGATCTTCCGCTGGATGATTCAGTTGTTAATGTTCCTGAATCTCACCAAGTTGGTACTTACCAGGGACGAGATTGGTAATACTGATACGGAATTACTGCTGGATGGCTCGAGTCCATGGAAGAGCTGGTCAAACTGCATTCCCCCAATAAGGAGATTGCCTTCCTTGTCAAAGCTGGTGAACTTGGTAAGATTAATTGTCATAAATGCCCAAATCTGTAAGAGATTGAGGGCCTTGCTGGTTTGAAATCCTTGGAAGATGTCTTATCAAATGCACATCCTTGGAAAGTTTCATGAGGATAAGCTATATGGTTTGGAGCAGTTGAAATAATTAACAGTGGAAAAAGTTCCAAGGTTGCGACAAATGGAGGCCTTGCTGGTTTGAAATACTTGATAGAGCTATACCTCATCGAATGTATATCCATAGAAAGGTTGCCACATATTAGCTATATGGGTTGGAGAATTGTAATAAAGCATGGCCATCTATGATTTCACAAACTTGATTGATGTATCTGCTCCAAGAAAACTAGAGCAGAGAGTAATCATAGAGTTCCCAAATTCTATCTCCATACATAACGATCCTTTGGAGGACAAGAACGATACTTGGTTTGTAAAAAGCGACTAATTCGTGTGAGTGATTGTGATTATTAAGTCAAAATATATAAACATACAGTTTGTTGGCTACTAATTCAATATTTGTCTTCCCTCTTTTAACTTCTCTCTCAACTGTGCGCAATGTGTACGATTGTGATAGTCTACTCTATTATATCAATATCATTGATAATTGACCCGATTATGATGCAGTGGTAAGACTACAAGTCAAGCTTTTTGATAGTCTCTACTCTATGAAATCATTGACAGTTGAAGATTCTGATGCGCTGGAAAGACTGATCAGCATGGCGTCTTTGAGCAAGTTGCTTGATTTATGTGTCTCTTCGTGCCTTTATCTCACAAGAATCCAAGGTCTTGGAATGCCTAAATCGATAGAAATGGTTCACATTCTTGTTGCAAAGAGTTTAAGTCGTCTCTTTGGTTTTGAAACTCTACTCTCTCTTAACAAGCTAGAAATTTTAACGGAAGGTCACTGCCCTCTTCTCACATCACTACCATTTTTTTTGTGACAATCTTACATTACTAGCATTCAATGGCATTGACGAGGGAAACTGATTAAAAAAACCAGTTGGCCCTGTGTTGCATATCTTCTGTTGGATTATTCAGCTGTTATTGTTCCAAAGTCTGAACGAGTTGACACTTGTTGGGATGCCAAATGGTAATGCTGACACAGAATTACAGCCCGATGGGCTCGATTCTATGGAAGAGTTGGCGTGACTGCCTTTGTTTGACTTGGCCTTAATATGGTGACTACCTTTCCTGTCAAAGATGGAAAACGTGGGGATTTTCCTTTACTTTTGCTTTTTACATGCATTTGAAACAAAGAAATCTGTAGAATCTTCAAGCATTATATGCATTCTGAGACTGCTGACTGTTGATGAATGCTGTTGCCACTGTACTTTCTAGTGGTTCGAGTTGTGGTAATTCCTTCTGATAGAATGAGAAGGTTTGAAGGGAATATGGCACAGCCTTGATGGCCCTTGTATTTGTGTGAAAATCCTGGTTGAGGTGAATCTTGCTTAGTTCCTAAGCCCCCCTCTTCTTCTTGGTAGCGTATGTTATTTATTGTTGGGCTGATCAAAAGAACGATTTGGACAAGTCACATTTTGGTTGCTGTTGTGCATACCACTTATGGGAGTTGATAGCTGGAACCTCATGGGTATACAATTGAGATTTCCCTAGGGTAAAACAAGGTGTTAATGTTTGTTTTCGAACATATTATTTGCAGCTATTGTTATGAACTAAGGTTGCATGTATTTGCATGGCATACGATCTGAACTTGCAATTTGACGTGTGAATGCAAGTTATTATTGGAAGGTCCTGTTAAATCAAGTCTCAATGTAAAAGCCTGCATAGTCTGGTTGTTCTTTTGCCTTTTTGACACACATCAGATGGAAATTTGTTGGTTTAAATCAATACCGATTCCTTTCTCGGGGATTCAGTGTTGTAGTAAATTATTAATAGGAAGGGTCAGAAGGGAAGCTTTACTTACTCATTTGTCTATGGTTAAGTGGAGGTAAAAGGTACTGAATTAGGATCTTCCTTGGTAGTGCTGTGAGGCTTCGGATGGGATTTATCGTTCCCGGTAGTTGCAAATTGTGCAAGTTCATTGGGTCAAAGAAATTATCTTGTTAAAACTGGCTTTTGAACCAGTAAATCCTTAAGAAGGTTCCTAGCAAGGAAGAGGGTTCTTGATTTTCCGATTTCAAACACAAGAAGAATGCAATTTTGCACTAATTTGGTTCATGACATGAACATGCAATTGCATTCTGTTCGTATCTTATACTCTCAGTTTTCAGATTTTGGGAGGAAATATATCTTCTCATGACTTGATTGATTGATATAAGTAATAAGTCTTTTGCTTCATCTGTGGACCAAACTCATTTCATTGATATCTTGAGACTAGATTGATATCTTGAGACTAGATTGATATCTTGAGACTAGAAAGGTACTAGGAAAGGGTTGTGGATAGAAGCCATTCAGCTGAACTGTTTTTACCTTTTTCTTATATCAGGCAAGCTAGAAGTTATATGCTAGGGAGCCTCTTGCTCTTTTGGTTGTACTTGTGTGTTCCAAACAGAATGTAGTTGAAGAGATCAGTAGAACTAGTAATAGTGAGATGAAGCTGATTGTTATGAAAATTATTTTCCATGATTATGTAGCTCATATGGGTTGTTGGTTGGTTACAGTAACAAAGTCGGAGGTCAGGGTTTCTCGTTTGATAAGTCAGCCCAGTTACGGTTAGGGTTTCTTTTGGAGATCCAGTTACGTCGAGAGGGTTGGTAGGCAAGGCTTAATGTTTCCTGGCGATGATCTATTACATGAGTTGGATGGTCCATCTTGACGTATCTCTTGGCGGGGAAATATTTTAGCTGGTATGATTCCTAAATCCTAATGCCCCTTCTCTGTTGCCTATAATTTTCTAACCCGGATGGATAATCTCTTGATTTGCTCATCTACGCACTTGCAGCAATGACATATGAATGATTATCTTTGCTGTGTCTTGTTGGTTTACAATGCTTGATTATGGCTGTCCGATTATTATTATTATTATTATTATTATTATTATTATTATTTACGTTGCCATTTCCATGCGCCAGATTTTTGTGCACTTGCAAAATTCTTTCATTCAAGTCTGCAAATTGCATTGATATAGTAACATTGAAATTCTTTCATTCAAGTTCTGGGAAAATTTTCATTCAAGTTCTGCAAATGATTTCATCAGTTGCCCTTCTGCTCTATCCTATAAAGTGAAGATTACTGATGGAGTCCTAGAGGGGAACTCTTGAATGGTTATTTGAAACCAAGTAAATCCATGAATTGGTGGATGTGCTTGAGAAACGAAGTTGGTACGCAAGTGTCCCCTTGACCCTACAGTTGAAATTGTTTTAATCATTCCAGTTGCCCTTCTACTCTATCCTACTTGGTGATGCCCTTACTAGAGTCCTAGATAGGAACTTTGGAATGATTAATATCGAGTGAGAAAATACATGGATTGGTGGCCATGTTTGAGTAAGAACGCAGTCCGTCCGAAATTCCAGCAAGTATTTAATCATTCCAGTTGCCCTTCTGCTCTATCTGGTTAAGACAAAGTCATAAATTGGAGTCCTAGAAGGGAACTTTGGAATGAGGGATACCAATCGAGATGCACATGGACGGGTGATCATGTTGTTGCTCTAGATTTCGTGTCACTTTGTGATTTATTTTGAAATGATAATAATTTGTTGCCCCTCAGCTCGGTCCCAAATTCAATTTTGACAATATTTTGTTTCTGTGGAAGCCCTAAGTACAATCGGTTGCCCCTCCGCTCGGTCCCAAATTCAATCATGACCATATTTTGCATTGGAAAGACTGCCCTCATCTCACAAAAATCCAAGGCCTTGTAGTGATGGGATCATCGCAAATGTTTCCTGTTGTGCACACCACTTTTGAGAGTTGACAGCAGTAACCTCCTGGGTATACAGTTTAGAGTGCCCTAGGGTAAAACAAGGTGTTAATGTTTGTTTTTGAACATATTATTGTAATGAACTAAAGGCTGCATGTATTTGCATGGATTCCGATCATAACTTGAAATTTGACGTGTAAATGCAAGTTATCATTGGAAGGTCCTGGATAGGCGAATGTCTGATGTCTGCTTAAAGATTATGGTTTTGACATGGGAGAAAAGTTTAAAGTAGGTCTCGATGTAAAAGCATGTTCAGTCTGGTTGTTCTTTTGCCTTTTTGACACACATTTGATGGAAATAAGTTGGTTTAAATTTATATCGGTTCCTTTCTTGGGGATTCAGTGTTGCAGCAAATTATTAGTAGGAAGGGTCAGAAGGGAAGCTTTACTTACTCATTTGTCTTGTTTGAAGCTTTGGATTGTGACCAGGTCCTAGAGAAAAATCTTGCCAGTCTTGGTTTTCTGCCCTCAGAATCAGGGGGCATCATGAGGATGGTTAAGTGGAGGTAAAAGTTACTGTATTAAGATCTTTCTTGGTAGTACAGTGAGGCTTCGGATGAGATTTATCATTCCCGGTAATTGCAAATCGTGCATGTTGATTGGGTAAAAGAAATCATTTTGCTAATACTGGCTTTTGAACCAGTAAATCCTTAAGAAGGGTCCTAGCAAGGAAGAGGGTTCTCGATTTTCCGATTTAATCACAAGAAGAATGTAAGTTTGCATTAATTTGGTTCCTGACATGAACATTCAATTGCATTTCTGTTAGTCCTGAAGTCCCTTTACTTATTTTGTTGTTTGGGTGACCCGATGAAGATGTAGGATCTTTGCTCGGTTAGACAGACACATGGTTGTGTCATGCATTATGAGATTTGTCGAAAAGATTTGAGCATTTATATTGTACAGTTTGTCTGATTATTGAGTGATTGATATGATGATAATCTTAATACGAAGGTTATGTCGGAACTCATTGATGGTTGGAAAGGTTTCTGCAACTTTACATTGTAAGTGTAGACATTCTGATTGAATTGGTTAAGGGCACACACCTATTGTTCAACCTTGAACATCCTTTTCTGACTTGAGCTGGCTCTCGGAAAGTTTGATTTGAGAGCTCAAAAGTTGTAGCTTTTCAACTACATTTGGTTCTCTGTTGATTATCTTATTTAGTACAGGTGCCATGCGTATGCTTTTTTATAGGAAGTGACTTTTCCACTAGGTGAGCATTCTAAGGGGTGACTGTTTTTCTGATAATTTGAGGGCCTTATAGGTCACATTTAACTATGGATCAACCAGATATGCCTGTGATTATATGTCTGAGTGCGATCACAATCTGCCCATGATTATAAGCCTATTTGCGTCTATTTTTTGTCCAAATTTTATATGCAACACCATCTATTACTTCTACTAATGCTCCAATTGAAGTTTTGAAAGGTCAAGATAACCTTACCTTTGATGAGTTGCTTTCGTTTATGGGATCTTCTTGCAGAGTTTAGGATGTTGATTCTTTTGTGCTACTCTTGTTGCCCGTTTATTATTTGCTTGGAACTTTTGAAAGTACTCACAGTATTGTACCTGACGAGGAAGTAGATACATATGCACAATTAGGTCTAGAAGGTTGGAGGTCTATGTCGATGTTTTGTCCCTTGGTGGAGAGGTCTATGCTCTGGTATAGTTGCTACAGTCACTTCTCTGTTATGTAGAATTTTGGATCGGGATGGAAGATCTTTGAATTGCCTTGATTTTCTCATCAATGCACTTGCTGAAATAAAATGTGAATTATATATTTTTAGACAGGTCTTGTTGTTAGTTAGCAGCTGTAGTTTGTAGTCAGGGTGGCTGTAAATATTCTGTAATCGGATAGTTTGTAGCTTGGTACCAGTTAGAATGGTGTTATACCATTCTTTCTTGATGAATACACAACTTATTCATAAAAAAAAAGTAGTTGATTTTGGCTCCAATTATTGCCTTCTGGTTGCACCATCTTTTTGCAGTTATCGAATTGCCTTCATTCAAGTTCTGCAAATGATAATTATAAATAGAGTCCTAGGGGGACCATTTAGCCACTCAAGTTGCACTTTTTCTCTATCCTCTTGAACGATAATTATAAATAGAGTCCTAGAGGGAGGCTTTGGAATGATTCATTGAAATCAGGTAAATACATGGAATGGTGGCCATGTTTGGGAAATGAAGTTGGTCGGAAACTTGGATCCTGTTGTTTGTACAATTGAAATCATCTCTAATCATTCTAGTTGCCCTTATGCTCTATTCTACTATGAATGCTCCAATTACAGTCCTGGATGGAACTCAACTTATAACATGGAATGATGATCATGTTGGAGAACGGAAGCTGGTCCGGAAGTTTTGTCTTGTTCCCGCAATTAGAAATATCTCCAATCATTCTAGTTACTTAACAAATTCTCTAACCAGAGTCCTAGGTGGGAACTTTTGAATGATTAATACTGTTTGAGAAAATACATTGATTGGTCGTTATGTTTGAGCAAGAACGTTGTATGTCCAAGCGCTTATGTAAACATTCTGGTCACCCTATAAATTAGCCCCTCTTTTTATGTTTGAGAGAGGAAGTTGTTGCTCTGATTATTATGACCCTTTGTGTGTTATTCTGAGATGATCATCGAGTGTTGCCCCTTTTTCACAATCTCAAGTTCAATGACAGTTTGTTAGCTGAACGTCCTAATTTGTTCGAGTAGCCTGATGAGGAAATAATGTTATGCTCAGTTACTGTGTCATGCGCTGATTATTGTGCCTTATTGTTGTACCGTTCATCTGATTATGAAGAGAATCTTAATACAATGACTGTGTCAGAACTCGATGGTGATTGAAAAGGTTTCTGCAGCTTCACATTGCACATTTTAACATTCTGATTCAACCTTTAACTGGAAAAGATCTGAGCTAGATTTTGGCACAATTATTGATATGAGAGCTCGAAAGTATTATAGGTTCCCAACATCAGTTGGTTCTCTGTTAACTATCTTATCTACTTTCAGAATCCATGCATTTTTTTTATTCTAGAAAGTGACCATATGCTATGTTTGTTACAAAACTCTATGATCGCTTTTGGCTATTGTATTTGACAGATGTGCATCCTGAGAAAATGCTCGGTCTGTGATAACATAATAGATTCGGAGATCACGAACTTTTGAATGAGTTAGACGATCGGCGTAATTTTTTGGTGCCTTCGTTTGGCAAGTTTTCCCCCTCCTTTAATCTATAATTTTTATGAGCTCCAGCCCTGAGATTACAAACTTGATTAATTATAGCTCCAATGGAAACATACTTTCAAGAATTAAGTGTCTAGGTGCAGTATCAAACTTATAACAGGGCCCTGTGATTTCAATATGATACTTAATTGAAGCATTATTGCTTGCTCCTGGTTGCCCCGTCACTTTCTAATAGTTCTACTTGTGCTAATTTCTTCAGTCAGAATGAGAAGTGTTTGGAGTGACTAAAGCTTATATACGGTTGCCTTTCTGCTTGTGCGGAAACTCCTGCAACTTAGTTCCTGAGCTTCCCTCTTGCTTCATTGTAGCAAGTTACATTTTTTGTAGGTCGGATCATAGGAATGATTTTGTTGTTGTGCATGTCCCTTTAGAGCGATAACAGTTGGAATCTCATGAGTCCATATAAGAGATTATCCTAGGAGAAAGTGAGGTTCATGGTTGGTTTCAAATATATTATTTAGAGCATATACAGTTAGGAAATGGCATGGCTTCCTGTCTAGACTTGCAAATTGCAATTCAACTGAGCTATTACTGGAAGGTCCTGAAATGGGGAGTGGGGACCTTGCTATTTTCTGCTTAATGATTATGCTTCTGACAGCTAGTAAAGTTCAAATCAGGATTAACGTGGAATTCCAAATCAAGTCTCAAGGCAAAAGTATCGGTTGGTAATGTGTTACTTTCTTAAGATTCGGTTTGTTTGCAGTAAATTATTATGGAAGTGATTAGAAGGACCTATGCTTTCATTTCATCTGAAGATTTGGATTGTGATGGATCCTATAGAAAACTCTTGTTAGTGCCCTTTTGCGTGTTGAATGCAGGGGATATGATAAGCCTGCTTAAGTCAAAATAAAAGGTACATGATTGGTATGTTCATTGGTAAAGGAGGCTTTGGCAGAGAATTCATTATTTTCTAGTTGTGGCAAATTGAATTATGTACTCATCTTGTTTAACACACCCCTTTGAAGCAGTAAACATTTAAGGGTCCTAGCAGGAATGATTGTTCATTGGTTGGCAATTTTCCAATTTCAAACACAGGGAGAATGTTATATTTGTTTGCTGGAGTCTTGGAAGGAAACACTTGAAAGATCCTCGATGCAATCATTCTTAAATGGCTGGGTTCAGCTTGGTTGAAACATGTAAATTCATGGCAAGGGTATGTGAAAATTCAGATGGACATGGGAATTCCGTCTCCAGTTAAGTGTAAGATGTCTGAGAGATGCCAGAGAACTGTCACTGATTATGGTATCTAGCAGCCTATCGTTACTAAAGAACACCTATGTTTTCTGACTTACAAAATTTTATGTGCTGCAGCATCTATTTTTTGAACTATCGTCCCAATTGGGTCTTCTTGCAGACTCTAAGATGTCGATCCTTCTGTGCCTACTCTTCATCGTCCATTTACTTCCTTTTCTCTTGCAAGTGCTGAAGGTGTGCCAACTCTGACGCAACTTCCTAGCTGTACTTAAATGCATTTTCGCGATTTCTATCGGCTGAAGTGCTCAAGTTGTATGTGCATATAAGTTTCGGAATGAAATTTCTGTGTGCGACTCGCTACATTTCTCAATGAAATCACAATTATCCCTCTGGTATATAATGATGATGCGATTGTTTGTTAGAGAGTTCATCATTTACAATTAAGAAATCTGCTCTGATGTTTATAATATGACATTGAACCATTGGTGATTGTGGCCATAAAAGCTGATGTTGGATCTTTGACCGATCAAAGCCATTCCTTTCTTGATTTTGATTGTAGTTTGAAGGATTGGATGGAGGCCTCTTTTCTTGACTCGTCTACAAGGGAGTGTTGCTGAATGCTTAGCCCCTGCTCATGTGAATGGTCAATGCCCTCTGCCAAGAGTTTCATGCTTTTGCTTGCAAGTGTGGGAAAGAGAGAAATGCAAGGTCTTTTCATGGGTGAAATTAGATCTTTGCTAAATTTTGTTTCCTAACATCAACAAAATTTTGCTGTGTTTCACTGCTGCATTCCGAGGTTTCTTCGTGGTCGCTCAGGCAAATACTTGAATGGGCCCAAGAACCAGTCTCAGTACTAGCAACTTGGATTCCACGGGACCCTCACATTAGTGGAAAAGTCCGACCCAGATGTGTAAAGCCTAACTAAGAGTGGACAATCAAGGCCTCTTTCTTCCCCAAGCTCCCCTGTCCCCGCGGCCGGGACAGCTGCCGGAAAATGGAAGTCTCATGAGTTCGGTACTGAGACTGCTTCTTGGGAGGAGTTGGTTTTGTTTCAAAAATTTGTGCCTTCAAGGAGGACCAGAGGAAGAAGTCAGACATAGATGTGTTATGATACCGATTTTCTTACATTGGAATGGACAAGGAGATACCTTCTTATATGTGGACTGATCGTGGCTCTGATCAAAGATCAATGATTAACTGGGAAGGGCGAAAAACTCCAGATACATTATCAACTTAAAGGTATGGGTAGCCAATTGTTAGCCAATAAATATATAACAACCATGGAAGATGACTAGAATATGGTCAAACCAAGAAGCTCCGGGTTATAACATAACGATAAGGTATGTTACCATGTGTTGATATCAAACTTCTAATGCAATTGCAACAAGTTGTTTGTATTCCCTTGTTTTCTAAGCCTGAGTTTGGAGCTTTAGTTATTGGATTGTGCACTTCATTTGCAGGGAACAAACCAAGTCAAGCCCACCCGGCTAAACACATCATCCTTTGTTCTAGAGGAGTTGAGATACTTTGACACCAAATTCACAAAGCTTATTAGAGACTTCAGGCTTCAGTAATCTTGCCAAATCTGAGATGGCTTCTAACGCCGCAAAACCGCTGGCATGGTTACACTCCATTTCGCCATGGATCCTGAAGATTCCTGTCACCTTCATTGAAGTTGCTGTTTGGGTCTTCATGACATACTATGTCATTGGATTTGATCCCAACTTTGGAAGGTAATATAGAGGCTCTCGGATAATAGTATTGGTAATTTTGGTTTTTGAGGTTGCGTATTTCTTAATTGTTTCTAAACAACTATGTGTCGTGACATTGATAATGCAGGTTCATTAGGCCTTATGTAGTGTTGGTGGCAATAAGTCAAATGACATCTGCTCTTTTCCGATTCATTGCTGCAATGGGAAGGAACATAGTTTGTTGCGAACTCTTTTGGCTCATTTGTTCTGCTTCTTCTTTTTGCATTGACTGGATTCATTTTATCACGAGGTTGGCGAATAATGTTTTTTTCTTGTACTTTCCATTTATATGTTCCTCAAAATTACTCAAGTCCTAAAGCTAATCTATTTGACTTCATATTACAGAGGATGTAAAGAAATGGTGGATTTGGGCGTATTAGTAGTTAATAAATTCCTTGGACACAGTTGGAACCATGTAACATCCTTATTCCCACATGACATTCCATTATGAATTCTCTCCTTTTTTTTTTACCTCTTCTTCTTTGGCCTAATTTCATCTCCATTTTTCTCCTAAATCCAGGTTCCAGCAAACTCAAACTCGGCAGAGTCACTTGGAATTCAAGTGTTCTCGTGCGTTCTTCACTGAGCCAAATTGGTGTTGGCTAGGAGTAGGGAGCAATTCTAGGATTCATGTTCCTATTCAACATCGCTTTCGATATCGTAAGTAACTCAACCAAGTTCCTTCCTTGCTCAGGTTCATGCTTGTACTGCAAGAAATCTTTTTCCTCGGGAATAATAATGTTTTTTTAATGGAGGGAATAATAATGTTTTGATGAGGTTAAATATGTACAGAATTCGAGAAGCCTAAGGCACTCATACCTGCAAACTCCAATGAATATCGATTTCATCTGCTGATCTGCTCCATTTCGCCTCCTTTTGCTTCTCCAATTTCCAAATTTACAGAAGCAAAAAAGCGCTTGTCTTTCTCTGTCTTCTCGACCATTTCCGTGGTTCATGCACTGCATCGGCCGCCATCAACTAGAATCCCTGTAATTTCTCCCTCTCTCTACATGAGAATAGTAGAACTAACAGATTCGTTTCTTACCGGAGAACACGTTGTCCTAAAATTTTCTCATAGTTTATTTTCGTGCTTCAACTATTTCTATTTTTTGTTTCAGTCTTCGTTCTATTTGGGTTTTTAAGTTAGCCCTCAGAATCTTTGGTTATAGTCCTTGAGCGTGCTGTGATGTTGAACTTCAGCAGTTTGATGCTTTGTTCATCAGTGTCCCTGTTCTTGCAAAAGTTGATGGTAACCTGGGTAATTGGTGGTGTGATTCGTATATACAAGTTGTTGGTTGGTTTCTTTGACAATAGTAAAATCCAAGGTTGGGGTTTCTCATTTGATCACGCCAGTTATGGTTTGGTTGCGGCCATGACTGCGCGCCCCGTTGGGTAATTAATTTTGAGTCTTTTGGAGATAAATTTATGTCGAGAAGGTTTAAAGACCTTGAAGTGTTTTGCGACTAGATCTGTTGCATGAGTTGGGACTTGGGTGGTTCATGTTGGCGGTTCATCGTTTGGTGGAGAAATATTTCTCTGTAATAATTCCTAATGCCCCTTCTTTGCTGCCTAGATTTTTTTTTTTAATCCGGATGGAAAACCTTAAGAGTTGCGAATTGATTTGCTCATCGATGCACTTGTTGCGCTAACATGTGAATGATTATCTTTTGGTGAAGTAGACTAATACCTGATATTGTCGTTGGTTTAGAACCGCCATCTGATTATTTCAGTTGCCAACTAGTTGCCCCACATGTTTGCCCATACTTACATGTGAATGATTATCTTTTGGTGAAGTAGACTAATACCTGATATTGTCGTTGGTTTAGAACTGCCATCTGATTATTTCAATTGCCAACTAGTTGCCCCACATATTTGCCCATATTAAATTGCTTCATTCAAGTTCAGCAAATTGTAATGGATAAAGTAAATTTAAACTCTTCAATGTTTCATTCAATCGGTGGTCACCTCATGTACCCATTGTAAATATTGCATGGATTGGCAGCCATGTTTGAGAAGAAAGTTGGTCCGAAAGTTGCGTTCCATTGTTCCTACAATTGAAGTTGTCTCTCAGCATCCCAGTTGCCCTTCTGCTCTATCCTATTTAGTGAATGTCTTAACTAGAGTCCTAGATGGGAGCTTTGGATTGGTTAAATAGTGATTGAGAGAATACATGGATTGGCGGCAATGTTTAAGTAACAATCTTGTCTTTCTGAAATGCTAGCAATTATTTAATCATTCCAGTTGCCCTTCTGCTCTATCTTGTGAAGAACAAGTCTTAAATGGAGTCCTAGAAGGGAACTTTGGAGTGAGTGATACCAACTGAGATATATATGGACTTGCGGCCATGTTGTTGCTCTAAATGTTTTGTCCCTCTACTCTATCTTGTGAAGAAAAAGTCATAAATGGGGTTTTAGAAAGGTACTATGGAGTGAGTGATACTAACAGAGATATACATGAACTGATGCTCATGTTATTGCTCTAAATGTTGTGTCCCTTCGAGTGTTATTTTGAGATGATCATGACGCTTCGTTAACTGAAAGAGCTAGTAGGAATCCTAGAGGAGTCAGAAGGATAAAAAATCACAAATTCATATAGATCCACCGGCCTAACCAGCAACCAAAGCTGTATGCAATATATGAACATACAACAAACGTTGGGATTATGCACTATGACAGTATGAACATGATACCGCGGGAATCTTTTCAATGAATACTATGAAAATGCAGTCCATTCAGTTTATGGTGTATCATATTATGATTTTCTGATTATCTTCGTTTCCATCTGCTTGCGGCATATTTTTGCACCTACAAATTACTTCATTCAAGGAGACACCCCGTGACCCATTGTAGTCTGGTAATCCACAAATGATTATATGTTGCCACTTGCCATATTGGTTTTAGTTAAGTGACCGTTTACTCGCTACAATTGCCCTTTTGCTCCACCCTACTCAGTGAATGTTCTTACTAGAGTCGTAGATGGGAACTTTGGAATTATTAGTATTGAATTAGAAATACATGAATTGGTGACCATGTTTGAGTGAGAATGTTGTATGTCCAAAATTCTAGCAATTATTTAATCATTCCAGTTGCCCATATGTTGTATCTTGTGAACAAAGAGTCATGAATGGAGTCCTAGAAGGGTACATTGGCGTGAGGGATACCAATCAAGACATACATGGACTGGTGGTCATGTTGCTCTAAATGGTGTGCCCTTTGCATATTACTTTGAGCTGTTCATAATCGTCTACCCCTCTAGTCCGTCTCCAGTTCAATCATGACAATATTTTGTTCACTATGGAATTCCTAAATTGGATAGGAGAACATTTTTTTTTTGTTTGGTAGAAAGGAGAACTTTTTAATGACATGACAAGAATACCAAGAAGTATTCTCCATTAAGTTCAAAATCGACATGAGTTCTCATTCATTCTAGTTTGTTTTCAAATTTAACTTAATCATTAGTAATTTGCTCGTGCTCCAGTTTTTGTTTGAACTATGTAGACTTTAAGTCCTACATGGGTTTACCAAAAAAAGTCCTACATGGAGTCCTTAAGAAAATCTTTGTTATGATTGTTACCGCACCGAGTTTGTGACAATGAAGCTCTTGATATGACAATTACGTCCTCTGATTATGTGATGAAGAGCATAGTGACTGTGATGATATGACTTTTGAACCAGAAGATAAATTTTGTTTTCTGGTGGTCTTGCTTGCCTTATGATCGTTCATTTCTTATTTGATAGATGACCTTTGAGCTTATTTCATGCTTATAGAACCCATGTTACTTTTCAGAGTTAAAAGCTCTCATTGAATTCCTGTACTTCCCGATGAGAAGATAGTAACTCCTCTTTTATGGTCTGTTGACTGTTGGTAAGATGCACAGATTCATTGGTAGTCTATCCTTCTATCCCTTCATTTATTTTGCACTTTCAAATGGCTTGATGGGGAAGTATATACATATATAAGTCCGAAAGATTGGAGGTCCATGTCAATGTTTCGTCGCTTGGTGGAGATGGCCTTGCTCTCATATTGTTCCTAATGTCCCTTCTATGTTGCGTAGAATTTTCTATCTGGATGGAAGTTCTTTGAATTGCGTTGGTTTTCTCATCGATGCACTTGCTGCAATTACATATGAAAGGGTATATGTTGTTAAAGTAGCTTGAAATGGCTGTCCAATTATTGCCTTCTGATTGGCCCATCCTTTTGCAGTCACTTAATCGTTTCCATTCAAGTTATGCAAACTGCATCAAATATGAAATATCTTGTTGCGTGTCCCATAGTAAATTATACTGAAATATCTGTGGCCATTTTGGTTTCTGTTGAATCGACCATTTAACCAATCAAGTTGCTTTTGCTCTATTGATTATAAATGAAGTTCGAAAGGGGAACTTCGGAACGATTCATTAAAACCAGGTAAATACGTGGAATGCTGGCCATCTCTTATCATTATAGTTTCCCTACTTCTCTATCCGTACTTTGTGAATGCCCCAATTAGAGTCCTAGTTGGCACTCGACTTATAACTTGGAATGGTGTCCATGTTAGAGAAAGCAAGATGGTCCGAAGTTTTGTCATGTTGTTCCCACAACTGAAATGTTCTCTAATCATTCCAGTTGCACTGACTGAGAAAATACGTGATGGCCAAGTTTGATTAAGAACACCATTTTTCTGAAATTCCAGCTACTATTTAACCATTACAGTTGCTCTTCTGCTCTATTTTGTGAAGATAAAGTGACGAATGGAGTCCAAGAAGGAAACTTTAGAGTGACTGATACTAAATGAGATATACATGGGGACTGGTAGCCATGTTGTTGCGATAAAAGTTGTGTTCCTTTGCATGTTGTTTTGAGATGATCATAATTGGTTGCCCCTTCTTTTGTGTTCCTTTGCGTGCCTATTTTGAAATGATCATAATGATTGTCAAGTTCAATCATGACAATATTTTGTTAACTGTGGAACTCTAGATGACAATCCTAGAGGGAAACTTTTCAATGATTTGACAAGAATTCTAAGAAGTATTGTTTTGTTAACTGTGAAACTCTAGATTGGAGTCTTGAGAGGGGAATTTTTTAATGATTTGACGAGAATGAATACTAAGAAGTAATGTCCATTATGTTCAAACTTGACATGAGTATATTCTAGTTGCCTTTTCTCAAATTTTGTTTTCTGGTGGTCTTACTTGCCTTATTAACATTCATTTGTTATTTGACAGATGGTCTTTGACTGTGTTGCAGGCTTATGAACCCATGTTTCTTTTCCATGTTAAAAGCTTTGATTGAATTCATGCAATGGAATTTTGCTCATACTTCCTGATAAGAAGATGACATGCCTTCTTTTATGGTTTATCCACTATTGGTAAGATGCAGATTCTTTTATTAACGTTCATTTCTTATTTGACAGATGGTCAGACGGATATCTTTTTGTTAAAGTACCTTGTTATGAATGTCCAATGACTCAGGCTTGTTTTATTCAATCATTGATCACCTTGTTGACCCAATTTTAGTTTGGTGATATCCACAAATGGTTTTCTGTGGCAATTTTGGTTTCTGTTGAATCGATCATTTAACCACTCAAGCTACACTTTTGCTCTATCATTATAAATGAAGTTCGAGAGGGGAACGTTGGAATGATTATTGAAACCAGGTAAATACATGGAATCATGGCCATCTCTAATCATTCTATTTGCCCTGCTTCTCTATCCCTACTATGTGAATGCCCCAATTAGAGTCCTAGTTGGCACTCGAATTATAACATGGAATGGTATCATGTTAGAGAAAGCAAAATGGTTCAGAAGTTTTGTCATGTTGTTCCTACAATTGAAATGCTATCTAATCATTCAAGTTCCCTTATACTCTATCCTACTCACTGAATTATCTAACTAGAGTCCTAGATGGGAACTTTGGAATGATTAATACTGATTGAGAAAATACATGGATTGGCGCCCATGTTTGAGAAAGGATGTTGGCCTGGAAGCTGTGTCCCATTGTCTCCTACAGTTGAAATTGTCTCAAATCATTCAAGTTGCCCTTCTGTTTTACCCTACTCATTGTTGCCCTTACTAGCTAGAGAGTCTTAGATGAGAACTTTGGAATGATTGACTCCGACTGAGAAAATACATGGAACTGATGGCCATGTTTGAGTAAGAACACTGTCATTCCGAAATTCCGGCGTTTATTTTTAATCATCCAGTTGCTCTTCTGCTCTATTTTGCGAATACAAAGTCATGAATGAGTCCTAGAAGAGAACTTTGGAGTGACGATACCAACATAGATATACACGGGGACTGGTGGCCATGTTGTTGCTCTAATGATGTGTTCTTTTGCTTGTTATTTTAAGATTATCATAATCTGTTGCTCCTCTAGATAAATCCTTTTTGTTCCTTTGCACGCTCTATTTTGAGATGATCATAATGATTGTCAAGTTCAATCATGAAAATATTTTGTTAACTGTGGAACTCTAGATCGGATTCCTAGAGGGAAACTATTTAATGATTTGACGAGAATACTAAGAAGTAATGTCTGTTATGTTCAAAATTGACACGAGTACATTCTAATTTCCTTTTCTCAGATTTTGTTTTCTGGTGGCCTTACTTGCATTATTAACATTCATTTCATATGTGATAGATGGTCTTCGACTCTGTTGCAAGCTTATGAAACCCATTTTTCTTTTCCATGTTAAAAGCTCGAGTTGAATTCATGTAATGGAAGTTTGCTGATACTTCATGTTAAGAAGATGACAGGTCTTCTTTTATGGTCTATCCGATGTTGGTAAGATGCAGATTCTTTGGTAATATATCCTGCTATCCTTTCATTTATTCTGCTCATTCAAATGGCCTGATGAGGAAGTAGATACATAATATTACATATACTCCTGGAAGTTGGAGGTTCGCGTTGATGTTCCGTCGTTTGTGGGAGAGGTCCTTGCTCTGGTATAGTTCATAATGTCCCTGTTATGCTGCGTATAATTTTGAATCCGACAGGAAGATATTTGAATTGTCATCTGGTGGTCCAACCTTTTTGCAAGTTATTAAAATAGCTTCATCCAAGTATTGCAAACTGCATCAAATAGTATGTTGCTTGTCCCATAGGCCATAGCTAACAAATTTAACTCTGGGATGTTTCGTTCAATCATTTTGGTATGGTGATTGGTGACCCACAAATTGTTATCTATGGCCATGTTGGTTTTCGTTGAAGCGGCCATTTAATCACTCAAGTTGCACTTGTGCTCTATCCTATTAAATGAGAATGATACATAGAGTCCTATAGGGGAACTTTTGAATGATTCATTGAAACTAGGTCAATACACGTATTGGTGGCCATGTTTGAGGAAGGAAGTTGGCAGGAAAGTTGTGACCCGTTGTTCCTACAAGTGAAATTATATCCAATTAATTTAGTTTCCCTTTGCTCTATCCTACTCCGTGAGTTTCCCATCTAGAATCTTATATGGGACTCAACTTATAACATGGATTGTTTGCCATGTTAGAGACACGATGTTAGTAGTTGTCATGTTGTTCCTACTATTGAAATTATCTCTAATAATTCCACTTGCCCTTCTGCTTTATCCTACTCAATGAATTCTCTAACTAGAGTCGTAGATGAGAACTTTGGAATGATTAATACTGGCTAAGAAAATACATAGACTAGTGGCCATGTTTTGAGTATGAACGTTGTTTGTTCAAGCGATCATTTGATCATTCTGGTTGCCCTTCTGCTCAATCTTCTCATGACAAAATCATAAATTAAGTTCTATGTTTACCTTTGAGAGAGGAAGTTGCTGCTCTGATTTTTATGACCCCTTGTGTGTTGTTCTGATTTGATCATTAACTTTTGCCCCTTCTGCACCAACTAAAGTTCCTTGACGGTTTGTTACTTTGAGATGATCATATGATCAGTTGCGCCCATGCTCCATCTCAAGTTCAATCATGACAATACCAAAAGTCCCGAATCATAGTCTTAGGGGAGAACTTTTGAGTGATCTAAACTAGACTACAAAAGATACTTTCCTTCACGTTTGAAAACACTAAATATTGACCATTATGTCAGGTATGACTTACCAAACTGTTGTGGCCCTTTGCACGTTACTTTGAAATGATAGTAATAAGTTACCCCTCTGCTCCGTCTCAAGTTCAATCAAGACAATAGTGGAGGTCCTAAATTGGAATCCTAGAGGAAACTTTTCAATGATGTAACAAGAATACTGAGAAAATACTGTATGTTCTGTTTAATATTGGCATGAGTCCTCAATATTATACTTACTTCATCTGCACTCTGTTCCAATTTTTGGTGGTACTGTATAGTCTTTTAAGTCCTTCATTGACTTCTCAAGTGGATCTTGGTTATGATTGCCACCACATTGTTGAGTGAGAAAATATTTGAACCTTGTTGGTTCATAAATGAAGCTGGTGATACGATAGTTATATTCTTTGATTATGTAGTTACAGAGAATCATGAGTTATGATGGTGTGAGTGCTTACTACCTGTTTTGGTGGAGAATGGGTTGGACGATTGTCATCATTATTTGGTGCGTAAGTATTGCACTTTTTCTTCCTAGAATGTTTTAGCCTTTTATGATTTACAGCTCGAAATCTACAAAGTTGATTATTTATCACTCCCTGGAGAGGCACTTCCCGAATTCGGACACCAATTTTCAATTTGCAGCGTCTTGGTGATCTAGTCAAGTGACACATTTCTCTCATTCTTGATCAATTCTTTGATCCAATCTTTAATCCGATTCTTACCCGTGAGTCGTTATTGCTTGCCCTGGGTTGCTTTTTTGCTTTCTAATGGTCACAGACTCACAGTTGTGGTAAGTCCTTCAATCAAAATGAGAAGGTCCGGATGGAGTTTAGCGATTAGCCTTAGTTTCCTTGTGTGAAAATTCGGGTTGAAGACTCAATTTGTGTTGAAGCATGAGTCTTGCTTAAGCTGTCGTCTTTCCTCATTGTAGCTAGTCTTGTTTATTGTTGGCCGGACAAAAAGAAATGATTTTCTGTTAGCCATATTTGCTTGCTTTTGTGCATGTCTCTTTAAAGCGTTGGTTGTTGGAACCACGAGTCAACATCTGAGCGTACCTATGAGAAAACAAGGTTAATGATAAGTTTTAAAATATATTATTATTATTTACAGAATTTACAACTATGAAACCATATGGCGGTTCCTACCTGGACTTGCATTGCAATTCAACTCATAATTAGGATGTCCTCGAATGGGGACCTTACTATTGTCTCCTTAGAGATTATGGTTCGAACAAGCTACCTAAGTTCAAATCAGGTCTCAAAGTAAAAGCTTGCTTAGTCTCTGATTGTCCTTTGCCTTTTTCATACATTGGTTGGCAATAGGTTACTTTATTCGAGATTCAGTTTGTTGCAGTATATTATTATGTTAAGGCTTAAACGGGAACCTTTGCTTACTCCTGCATCTTGGTTGATGATTTAGATAAACATTCATTTGTTGTCCCCTGTTACCATTCTTCTGAATTTGTAAGTGGAAATGTATGTCCTAGGAGGAATCATGTTTTGTCCTACATGTCCTTCCTGTTGTATTTTCAAGCTTTCATAGTTTTCCATGATATTACCTTGCTGTTTTGGCTTAATTGAAATCTTGCTTTCAAGTAATTTCTGGTCTCCCTTCCAACCCTTTAAAACATATTTGCTAGCTGGAGTCTTAGCATGAAACAATTGACAAGGCTGGAATCGATCATACTTAATGGCTGGGTTTGGATTTTGAAACGTATGTGCTTGCTGGACCTAGGAATTGCATTTTCAGTTCTTTGTAAGATCTCTTGAGTGATGCTCGCAAACTGTCTGTGATTATGATATCTAGGATCATGTCGTTATTACAAAATACCTTTGTTTTCTGTCCAATTTGATCTGTAACACCATCTATTACTTCAACCAATGTTCCAGTTGGAGTTTTGAAGGGCCAGGATAACCTTACCTTTGATGAATTTCTTTCATTTGTGGGATCTTCTTGTAGAGTTTAGAATGTTGATTCTTCTATGCTACTCTTATTGTCCATTTATTATTTGCTTTGAACTTCTAATTGTACTCATTGTATTCCAACTCTAACACAACCTTGCAAGTGCAAATTGATGGCAATAGTACCTTGGCTTTGGGAGATTAGTAATGTGCTGAAGCTGATTGATTATAACATATGCATCTTAATAAAAGATTTATCTGCTAATGATCTGTGTAACTTGGAAAATCCAAAATTGGTTCCGCATTACCCTTCGAAAGAGTAGCAGGGAGTCAAATTTAGTATTTTGTGGCAACCTGATGTCCTTAATCAGCTTATCTGATTCGTAGGTATTCACTTTAGTGTCGAACTTTTGTAGGTTGCTATCTATTTATCTGCTCGGGCCTCATAGGACATTGTTAAATTGGTTTAAGCTAGTTGGTCAAAGGCCAATAGTCACTGATTCGTAGGTTGCTATCTCTTTCCCACTCTGTAGGTTGCTATCTATTTAGAGCATTTACAGTTACGAAATGACTTGGCTTCCTATCTGGACTTTCAAATTGCAATTCAACTGGAGCTATTACTAGAAGGTCCTGAAATGGGGACCTTACTATTTTCTGTTTAAAGATTATGCTTATGACAAGCTAGTAAAGTTCAAATATGGAATTCAACGGAGAAGTCCAAATCAAGTCTCAAAGCAAAATCTTTCTTAG